TGTCTCTGTGTGTGTGTGTGTGTGTGTGTGCATTATCCACAGATTCAATCACTAATGTGTGTGTGTGTGTGTGCGCGTTATCCCCAGATTCAATCACTAATGTGTCTCTGTGTGTGTGTGTGTGTGTGTGTGCATTATCCACAGATTCAATCACTAATGTGTCTGTGTGTGCGTTATCCATACATTCAATCAGTAATGTGTCTCTGTGTGTGTTATACCAAGATTCAATCAGTAGTGTCTGTGTGTGTGCGCGCGTTATCCCCAGATTCAATCAGTAATATGTTTGTGTTATCCACAGATTCAATCAGTAATGTGTCTGTCTGTGCGTTATCCCCAAAATCAAATTCAGTGTTTAGTTAGTTGCCCCTAACTTTTAAAAAGCAACCAATAATGATATTGGATATGGTTCCTTTAACGTATCTACAGCTGAAAATGTGTCGTGACGTGAACCTTGGGCCTTCTAATATGCTAATCAGTTGGCCACGCCCGGTTTAAAGATCGAGAGAGAGGCTGTATATCACTTTCATGAAAATACCATAATTGGAAAAAACATTTTTTTGGTGAAAAGCGCTTGTTCTATTATACTCCAGACTTGGAGTTGCATATATTCTAAATCTATATTCTTTCATCTCTTGCTTTACAGGGCCATCCCACCGACTCGGAATGTGACGTTAAAAGGCCATCCCACTAGCCCAAAGCACATATCAAACTCTGATACTCTGGCCCGGACGTCACCTAGTGATTAGCGTATGAGATCGAGGTATTCACACGTGTCGGGTTCGATACGAGGTGCAGCAGGACGTATTTCACATTTTCCCTGTTCGTTAGAGTGCTGCCTTTCCTCTGATCCGCATAAACTCTTAGGGTCTTTGACCTGATCGTTCAGCCCATTGTATTCACAAGGTGAACGAACAAGCTCTAAGATACAATATGCTCACACTTTTAAAATAACTGTTTCTAGTATCAACAATTACGTCCAGTAAGTCAGTGAAGCTTGTGAATTTTATAATCACCTCCTTAGGTACCTTTTATAAGTATATCGAAAGATTCATGGTTCGTGACCCGTAGCTGTAACAACATGCACTCCGCACACTGGAGCCGTGGGTGCGCTAGAACAGGGATGGTCAAGTCCCCCCTATTTGGTCAGACAATTGTAGTCCAAGACCTGATTGTTAGTACTATTGACCAGCTAGCTGCATTCCTTCTAGTCCATCAGTCTATAATTAGGTTACACCCAGATAGCTTTAGCTTTCTACTTGTAATGAACGATCTTTTATTGACCATGAAGGTTTTATCTGTCTCCTCATGTATCGTATTTCTGCTCGTTTCCTGGTTGCTCTATTCAAGAGAATTAAGAATGGACGATCTTTTATTGAACATGAAGGTTTTATCTGTGTCCTCACGTATCTTATTTCTCCTCGTTTCCAGGTTGCTCTATTCAAGATAATTAAGAATGGACGATCTTTTATTGACCATGAAGGTTTTATTTGTCTCCTCATGTATCTTATTTCTGCTCGTTTCCAGGTTGCTCTATTCAAGAGAATTAAGAATGGAAGATCTTTCTTACGAAGGATCTGCAAAGTTGGTGGTTTCTGAATCGGCTACTAGCACGAATGTAAAGTACAGAACCTTTGTCAAAAAACGACGACTTCTTCAAAAACGCAGAAGCAGAAGAAAGCAACAGAGAGTCCAAGAATACCGTCGTCTCAGGTCCATGGTTCCTTCACTTTCCAAAAAGCCCCAAGTTTCCAAGGTAAAAAAAAAAAGTTATCATCGTCGGCTAGTAAAATAGTCGTTGTTTAGAACTATATCCAATTAGAACTTGTGTTTCTTCCCACGTGACTAACCCCGATTATTTTTTTATGTCAATTCTGAAAGAAACCTCTCTTGGAAACACCAATTAAATAAAAACAAAAATTTCTAAATAAGAAAAAAGTGAACGTTGAGTATTTTATGGCTCTTCTTTTGGGTTTTAAAACTACTACATTTTTATTTATTGACTTATTTATTCCTTGTACGTCATCTAAAACGGCATTCTTAGCAGACGATTTTTGTAAAAGCTGTCGAACAGCGACATCTGTGTCTGAATAACTTTTATTAAAAGGTAAAAAAATTAAGCTGTAACTTTTATGTTAATCCACCTGTAGAAAACAACCATATTAAATACGTGATAATAAGTAATCTCGTTATTCAAGAACGCATTATATGTTTTGCATCTCTGTTGGCGATAGTAGCTTGTCATATAATTGAAGTTATTACTTTATGTTTTAATTTTATAGCTACCAACACATGGTGTTCTTCAAATATTTACTTTGTGATATAAATTAAAGTATTTTCAAGGAACTGACGTGTCCAAACTGACTCCATTTTTGTGAGGATAAAATCTTTATTGTTGCTAAGTTGTTCAGTAGCCATCTAGTAAAGGTATAGCTGCTCGTAAACTCCTCAAGCCTATACTTAACTTAAAGTACAAGTTACTTGAGTACTACGTAAATCTAACAAAAAATAACAACAACAACAATTAAACCTCTTTATGCCGCATACAATCCGAGCAGGTTTCCTTGAATCTTTTTTTTCTTTAATTTTATTCGTTGAAAAGTAGCTTTTCGTGTGTTTTTTAAGACACGTAAATGAAATGCTCATGGTTGTTTTTTGTTTAGTGACATTGTCAGGACAAGTACGTGGAAATTAATAAGATTTCTAATTTTAGGTAACTATGTTTTACAAGTTAGGCTTAGCTGATGTTGCTGCAAGCTCAAACAATATAAATTATGTATAAAACAATGTATGTACAGCTAAAGTTTACAGCTTTTTATTATTACTTTTACCGTATCATATTTATGTGTGTGTTCTATCATACATTTGAATTTCTTAGTTAGTTTTTTATTTGCCTTGTATGTTTTTTCAATTATACGTTTGCGTGCAAATACTTCTGAATTTGTCTTCTCTACAGGTGACAGTTATAGAAGAAGCCATCAGTTACATAGACCAATTACACAACGCTCTGCTAGAGAGATTAAAGACTCGTGGACTGCCAAGATGTATGCAGGGTGAGGCACTTTTATATATTGTTTTTGTTAAAATACGTGCGTATGTGTGTTTAACTTAGAAATACCATAACTGTAAAAGGGGTGGTCAACAATGAAAATAATAGATATTAGTGACTTCTTATTAAGATTACGTCCACAACTGACCGCGGTCAGTAGATTTGTAATTGGATTCAGGCTAGAGCACGTGACTTCCACTTTTGATTGGATGGATAACTAGAGACACGTGGAACCAATTTGGAAGCTACTACCATCATAGCTGTCCTCTTCCATCGTTGTACCTTTTATGTAGTTTCAACATCTCTTACAATTTTAACGAGTTTAATTTGTTTTTATCTAAGTTACTTACTGTTGTGCGCCCTCTCCCTTTGGATAATTTTAAAGTAATAACTTGTTTTAAGAAAAACTGCTATTGTGCTTTCTATTTAATTCCTCTCCTCTAGCGCAGTGGTTCCCAAACTCATTTAGTCTGAGGCTCCCTTGATGTGAATAAAAACAAAAAGTTTGAAGCCTCTCCAACCTCTAACTATAGAATGATGATTGAAAAACAGAGCCGTGGTAAACATCTCCTTTCGACATACTGTGGCATTTAATTAATTCAACATAATTTTAACGGTTTATTGTTTATTTAGAATTAAAAGTAATTCAGCATCTTTGTCTTCGGCCCATTTTTGCCCCCCTCAGAAAAAGCTTCACAGCCCCTAGGGGAGCAGTGGCTCCCACTTTGGGAAACACTGCTCTAGTAGGGCAGCGGTAAGTTTTCGGAACTGCAACGCTAAAATCAAGAGCTCAATTTCCCATGAACCTAATAATTCTCAATCCCGAGACAAAAAAAGAACATCTCTAACAGGACCGCGTTATGTTTACCTCTCATTTTTGACCTTCCATTAGGGTCCTATATATATATAAGACAGTCTTATGGATATTCAAGCCACAATAGATCATGTAACTGTTAAACTTTTGGGAATATAACGATTTTTAATTTATATCAGTATTAAAATTTTAGGCTAATTCCATTTAAACATCAGATGTAACATTCATATGGCACGCGTACACACACAAATCTTTTTATTTTTTCAGTTCCAAAAAAAAAATGTTGCTATAATTAGAGGCAATCGTAACACGGCCCTATTAGAGATAGTCTTGCAAGAAAAATTTCGCAGTACCTTTCTTGTCCGAGCTTCTCATTCAACTCGCTGTCTGGTATTTACCATTGACAATAATAGCTATAATAACAGGTCACGTGATCTGCACATCCCACTGTCTGGTTTGCGTCATTTTGTTTCTGAATGGAGTAGTACCGATACTTACAAAAAATGTGCTCACAAACTTTAAATATATGTCTAAACAGTAGAGTCAGTCAGAATGACGAGTCCGCTGAGGGTCACCACCCCGAATAATCGTGATATAATCGTGTAGAAGGAATCTTAGAGAAGATTAAACTGGTTCTGCTTGGCTGGTATCAAGACTTGACTGGTGGTGGTTTTAGCTAGAGTATAGTATGTTTCAGCAAAACAGGGTATCCTACCACACTTCGTCAAACTAAGAGTTTTACATTTTGAAGCGTTTACTCGGCGGAGTGTACGTAATCTGACTGGCTGTGTAATTTTCCTACTGATAACAGCGTTGTATACATGTTTGTATAAATAACACAACCTTCAGATACCACCAAGACGCTCACAACATTTTTGTAAATTTATTCTTAAAAGCCCCTTGTGGTTCAGCGGTTAGTCTGCAGACTTCTAACGCTAAAAACTAGGTTTCGATACTTGTGGTGGTCACAGCATAGACAGTCTATTGGGTAGCTTTGCGCTTAACAACAAACAAAAATTCTTAAACTTATTTAATTCTTCAACTATTACCAATATCAAAGATATTGTTCAATTTTCTATAACGTTTGTAGATATTAAAAAAAATGTAATTTCACTAAAGTGTTTCAGATCTTTTAGCTAACGAACTTCAACGATTGCCAATATTCACATTAAAATAAGTGTTTAATTGTAGTTATATATTTGTAAATTGAAAATTGTGTATATTTCTATTATGGCCGGTGACGTCACACACCATTGACCAATCTCTGCGTTGCAACTTTTTTTCCCAGCATACCTTGTCTTATTGTACTTATCTTGCATTTCACTTTCTTCAATTTATTTTCCTTGAGAATACCCTGATGTTCGGAGAGTTTGATTTATTGTTCAGTAGAAAGAATCTCTACATCAACTTTGATTCTAAGCACGAGACTCATTTTCGCTGCTAACAAAAACTTAACTCGGTTCGTTAGTACGTTCTGAAAACGTATCGCCCGCCATCTTGCAGAAAGCTAGGCAATAATCAGCCCAGTTTGTCTGTCTACTTTATCAAGATAATAACCATTGTGTCGAACTATCTTAAGTATAGTTTGAAAGGAATCGGGCGTAGCTTAAGTAGTTAGTGTGCCCGGACTGAAAATCCAACTATTCATGGTTCACGACCTGTTGTCGCCAAAAATGTACTCCGCACTCTAGGGCCAAAAGTTCCAGTCAATTCACATTATTCGATGAGAAAAGTCCACTGCGTGTTGTCATACCATCATAGATATTGTTAATATCGTTGTGCTTCTGAATCTGACAGACCAGCCAACTCTTACGATTTAGGCATAACTGTTCCGGGTTGTTTTTGTTTTACGGATGAACGAATTGTTGTTATTTTATGATTTAATGTGAAATTTGAGAATTTTTCACCTACTTTTTTTTTCTACTAACAGTTTTCCCGAAACAATTCACTGCTCTCCGCTTTGCGTCACAATCTTACAGACGCTTGAAACAGTCAATTACAAAAACTTGAAAATGGTACGCATATAGACCCTATGCGCGTGACGTCACGTATATATTACCGGCAAGCCGAAAAGTAAATACCGCCATTTTGGACGTAGCAAAGAGTTTGGTTTGGTTTTTAATTTAGCGCAATGCTACACGAGGGTTATCCGAGTTAGCCATCCCTAACTTAGCAGTGAAAGACTAGAGGGAAGGCAGCTAGTCATCACAACCCACCGCCACTCTTGGGCTACTCTCTTACCAACGAAAAGTGGAATTGACCGTAACTTTATAACGCCCCCAAAGCTGATAGACGAGCATGTTTAGTTGGACGGGGATTCGAATCCGCAGATTGCGAGTCAAATTCCCTAATCACCTGGTCATGTTTCGGAGAGACAATATAGTAGTAGTAATCACAACGTAGTTGCTGGTAGTGGAATTTGGGATCAAACTGTGCGGCAGTTAGTTGTACAAATAACCAGACAAAGACTCCAGAGTTATCGTTTTATAGCTTTACAAAAGATCCAGTACGTAGAATTAAATGGACTGCGGCAGTAAAAAGTGCAGACTCGAACAACATTGACAAGACTTGGAAACCATCGTTGTACCATAGACTATGTAGTTCCCATTTTATATCTGGTTAGTACTACTTGTATATACAATGTACCTTGTCACAATTATATTGTACAGATAATGATAAAACCTGTTGCTTGTAAGTATTTGGTGCTTCCCGAAACCTAAATACTATGATACAGGTCCGCACCAGCAGTGCTAGGTGGATGGGGCCAGTGGGTGGTGATAATGTTTTATCATAAATGTGGCTTCTCAAGATAGGTGGTCTTAAAATCCAGGGCTTGTGTAAAATGTATGGTAATATTTACTAAAGAATTTGTTCTTACAAAACACGGGCATTTAAAATACAATACAATACGATGTAATATATCTAGATTGTAAATTTACCACTGATACTGATAGGACATGAACAATAGGCCTAGTCACTAAAAGTAAAAACAACTTCGACTTACCCTCGAGTAAGCTATGTAGTTGGACATCTTGTACACCTTCCATAGTCTGACATCATGCACCCAAACAGCCACAAAATACTTGTTAGCATCAAGGCTTTTATAAGCCTTGAACTGCTTGCCGGTTTAAAAATAAATAATAGGGACTAAATAATTTACGATATCTATATTCTCAACCTGTGGGACTTTACCGTTGGTTTGTAGGCCTAACTAGGATCCTCCGTTTGCAATGTCGACTAACTTACTGGCATCTAGCGCGATTGTCATTGCTGACCGGATGTAATGAGGATCTGTTGTATCACGACCGACTTTTCTGGACTCTTCTTCATACCTTGACTTGCATATATTGTCTAATTTGTTAGTAAATTCGTGAAAATAAACTGAGAATTAGGTGATTGTGTACCGGAGGCCATATTTTCACGAATAATGTTTACGTCCAATACGGCCGCAAATTGTTGCGAGTTTACTTTGGCCACGTGACTGCATAAAGTCTATAGGGTGCGCTGATCTTTTTTTGAGGGGGAAATTGCGGGAAAACGTAGTTCTGCTTCGTCCCCAATGACTTCAACAAAGAAAAGTTTAAAGTAGACAGAAGCTTGGGCGTAAGTATTCAGAAATGTTCAATGACATTGTATCATCCTCAAAGTGCTACTTACAGAACTCTTAATCAGTAATTATTAAGTATTCAATAAAACATAGTTTCTAGAGACACTATTTCCATTTACGTTCGATGACGAGGAACTCACTCATCAGGTACATTTGCTGTTATGTTAAACTTATATTAAAGTTTTACTTCATTACCCATTCAAGCCGTCTCCAAGCATTATTTACATTTACGTTCGATGACGAGGAACTCACTCATCAGGTACATTTGCTGTTATGTTAAACTTATATTAAAGTTATACTTCATTACCCATTCTAGCCGTCTCCAGCATTATTTACATTTACGTTTTTTGCTACTTTTCAAAATGTAATGTCAGCAGGTTCAATAATTTCCGGAACTACGTAGGACCTGAAAGCGAGGCTCGCAACGTGATCATTGTTTCGCACGTGTAGCGATGCTGAGCCTCCATGACCTATTTTTCCCTTCATAGTAACATTTGGTAGTTTTAAGACAGAGGTGTAGGAGTAAAATTACAAATGGTAGTGTGTGTGTGTGGTGGGCAAGGTTTATTTGACCGAGCGAAACGTGCACAATAGGCGCACCCATTATGGTCGGAGTCCAGGGTCCTGGAAACTCTTGGTTTCTGGAGTAAATTTTAAGCATTTTCCTGAGAGTACTTTTCCTAATTTTGATGCATTTTCACTGAGACAGGTTGAAAAGCAGGGGTAGGTTGATCCCCGTTCTTACGCCACTGTAAGACTAGAATAAAACAGTCTGGAAAGATACACGGGTTTTTAAATAGTCGTCGTTGTTTGCTTTCTTTCAGCAATTGTGAAAATAACCATAAACCTGAAAATAACGGAAATGCAATAACATACGTGTGTTGATTTGAGGCTTTATATATGTAAATAACTATCCTGTTATGTAACACTTAACACTTGTTTATTATACTATTTGTTTATCCACTAATAAATCCGTCAAAAGTGTTATTTTAGTACCTTGGGTTCGAATCTAGGCTACTCATAGTTGTTTTTTTTAGAATTTTGCACATATAACTCTTGACATCTCTAAATGCGGAGCGTGTTTGTGCAGCAATGGACTGAAAAGCGCGCCATGAATCCTTATATTCACAGTCCGGGCACGTTAACCATTGGGCCACACTCCGCCCCCATTCGAAAGTTAAAAATTACTGCATATATCAAACAAAACTATTCGTAGTTCCTTTGTTCGACTAGTATTGAATAAACCTTTAAATACATCCTTATGCTACAGTCACTGTATTTCTTCGAATGACGTTAAGTTCCTATTTATTTCTTATTTTGACTAAACTAAACTGCCAGAGTACTTCACGTGTAATAAACTGTCGTTTGATATGATTTGCTGTTAATAGATATGAACATCGACATGGACAGTTTAAACCTTGGTGAGGTCAAGGATCTTGTGTGTCAGATGATGTCTACACCGACAACGTCACAAGGGTCATCAGTATCAGTGTCCCTCACAGAAAGCATTCGGGAGAGAAACAGAGAGGTTCCATCTTATTTAATGAGGAAACGGAAGTGACGTCAAAGTCATCTAGTCAGCCACAAAAGTGGTAAGTATACTCGATGAATAAACTACGTAGTTTTTGTTTTGTTTTACGTTTTGATGCGAATAGTTTTTATATTTCGAAGAGATTGGTTTTCTTATTTATCACATTCCTATCTTAAGTGTTTCCTTTAAAACAAGTCTGAAATATCGGTAACATTTCTCGATTTTAAAAAAGCGTATTGTGGTGGTTGGTATGGATTTCCAAAACAATCATTTGAAATAGAGAAAAACGCATTTTATACACAGTAGCGTTTTCTTCAGCATCTTTATCATTTTAGTTTCAATTATGAATCGTGTGTTAACCCTTTTGCGAGTGGCAGAAAGTGTGACTGTTTTTGATAATTGGACCGAGTGGCGGAACGTGTTGCTCTTTTCTAGGCTTATACCACAAACTAAAATTAGTTTCCTTCACTTAAATGTATTATTTTTTTATTTTCAGAAACTTTGCAAGTCTTGGTCACTCACATCCATAACAGCTGTACAGACACTTGACCAACAAGTGTGACCTCGTGAGTCTGTGGTGTTATGACCTTTGTTCTTGAATTAAGACCTCTACCTATTTCATTCTCGTTTGCTATGTAACTTTGTGATGTTGTTGCCATGGCGATTATACCTTTTTGATAGCAGTGTTGAGAATCGTTACTTCTTTGTATTCTAGACAACTCTAACTTTTGTAACAAGTGTATAAACAAAATAAATAATTGTGATAGAGAGTACAAAAAACAACCAAATTTGGTGCGAGATATCGTGTAAACTTTTTGTAAAAAAAAACAAACTTGACGTAATAATGCTGTTAAAAAAAAAGAGAAAGAAACCTAGGTAGAGAGTATTGTGGGGGGGGGGAAGTAATCTAAGTGCGAGAGTATCTAGTCAAATCCTAGGGGCAAGAGTACTATTTAAGAATTCCATATCGATTATGTAAAGAATGGTGTCTAAAAGAATATTTCATAATTCTATTAAGGTTACTTAATAATTTGGAACGTTGTATTTATTATTATTCAATTTATGATGGAGTTTCACAATGGCAGTATTTACGGTTTGAGTTAGTTCAAGGATTTCATTCCATTGTTTCCTCTAAGTGATAATAAAGGTCCAAACACGTGTGCGTGTCGATTTTTCAAATTCTTTTGTAGGCCAAATTACATTCCTCTTGAAAATCACTCTCTGTATGTCAAGGTAGAAATAACTCGCTTTATCTAATCTCGTTTGTGCGCCTCCTATCGTATTCGCCAGCTCGTACGTACAGCAGTATTTCTCGAACGAGGTGGTCAGGTTTAAAGACCTGTCTGTGCTACTTTCTCCAATTGAAAACACTAAGTGGGCCTTGTGTGGCCTACTGGATAGCGTGCCGGACTGTGAATTCAAGGGACCATTCGATTAGAATAGCCGGTGATTTGGTTGTTGGTGCTGTTGACCAGCTATCTTGTCTATCAGACAAACCTTATGTAGCTTTGCGCTATTAACCAAAACAAAATTAAAACATTGAGAGTGCTTCCATTTCTGCAATGATAAGTCTGTTATAGGAACCCGAATCACGTTATCTACGGAGACCTGTTAGAATCTCCATTAATTAATATAAACAGTCTGTTTTAGAATTTATGAGCCAAGCCACACAAGGGCTACTTACACATGTCCGTCCATAATTTTAAACTAATAGACTAGAGAGAAGATAGCTGGTCAAGAGATGGTCATTACCATCTCTTGCGCTTCTTTTGTTTGACCAAATATTAGGATTTGACTTTACTGCTATGGTGCACCCACGACAACAAAAAGCGGAGCGTGTTTATGCGTCAATGGCCCACGAACCTTTGTATTCATAGTACGGGCAAGCTAACCGCTGGGCCACGCCCGGCCCGAACATAAAACAAGCATCACCAATACCAGTCAGTTACAAAACATGTTATCTACAATTCAGATGGAAAATAAAGTAGATGTGGATGTAAATTTGTATTTCCATGTGGTAATTAGAAAAACAAAGTTGTTAGAAAGATTTCTTGATAGTTTATCACTAGAAAATATAGCTTGAGAGGTTTTTATTCTTTCATAGCCCAGATTTTTACAGGGTAAATTTATTGAGTTTAGAGTTTTGAGTCGACTTGAATGGGAAGTAAAAGAAACTTTATTATAAATGTAAAATATTTCGACAAGCTTGTGACATAAGCGTGTCAAAACGTTGTACAATATTTCGACAAGCTTGTGACATAAGCGTGTCAAAACGTTGTACATTATTTCGACAAGCTTGTGACATAAGCGTGTCAAAACGTTATACAATATTTCGACAAGCCTGCGACATAAGCGTGTCAAAACGTTGTATATTATTTCGACAAGCTTGCGACATAAGCGTGTCAAAACGTTGTACATTATTTCGACAAGCTTGTGACATAAGCGTGTCAAAACGTTGTACAATATTTCGACAAACCTGCGACATAAGCGTGTCAAACAATATTTCGACAAGCTTGTGACATAAGCGTGTCAAAACGTCGTACATTTATAATCAAGTTTTTTTTCACTACCCATTCAAGTCGACTCAAAACTTTATTTTATAAAACTTAAACTTTTTGAGAGGTTTATCCTTTCGTAGCTCAGACGTTTATAAGATAAACTTCCAGATGGATTATCCAATGGAAGATTAGCCACACACGTGTCGTCACAAGCCTTTCCCAGGAGGAGTTTGTTTGGTTGTTAGCAAAGCTACACGAGGGCTATCTGCGCTAGCCGTCCCTAATTTAGCAGTGTAAGACTAGAGGGAAGGCAGCTAGTCATCACCGCCAAGTCTTGGGCCACTCTTTTACCAACGAATAGTGGGATTGACCGTCACATTATAACGCCCCCACGGCTGAAAGGGCGAACATGTTCGGTGTGACGGGAATTCGAACCCGCAGAGTGCGAGTGGAGTGCCCTAATCACCTGGCCATGCCGCCCCCCCCCCCAGGAGGAGATCTATTCGTATTACCTAACATACAAAGCATATCTATAGTATAGAGCATCGGTGAGCAAAGATCAGCACACCCATATGTGAAAGCACCACACACATACACAGAAAGTTAATACTGACAAGTAAGTCCCAATCAGCTGTTCACAAAAGAATTAATAATTTTAGCCTTGTGAGAATTAAAACTACACGAAAAAGATCGTCCACGTGAGGGAAGAAAGTTTGTTGGACAGATTCTGGACGTACTTGAACGATTGCACAAGAAATGGGTGGGTTGCTACAGATCATGAGGTAGTGATGACTTCTCAGAAAAGGTGCAGGGAATACAAAAAAGATTTTCGTCGTGATTTTTGGTTTCTGCAGATTTATCATTTAACGGGCATTTCACAAAGAATACATAAAATAATGATGGATTTTAGTTACTGTTAGAAGAAGACGGCGAAAGCAATTATGTGAGGTTCAATTCCTGCACTGTGTGGCCACGATCCCAAGATCCATTGTAGCATTTCTATTAATCATGGAGTATGTTATCCACTTCACGACATACCTGTCATCTGACTGTGGACTTCTGTGTATTTAGTTTTATGTAATATTGATTGGAGGTTTATTGAAGTAATGTGTTCTAAGAACGACCTCGTTTGTTACAACGATGGGAGAAGTAGAATAAAAGCAGCAACAGATCTGGAACATTATCAAGTGTAATTAATCCTCCATTAGTACGGGTTAATATATTAAATAACACAGACGAAATTTCTGTTTTCAGAATAACCACCGATAATTCCAGTTACTACATTTACTTCCCCAGGGTCCCCGAAAGTGTTCTGTTTCGGCAGTAAATAAAACCAAAATTAAGAATAACAAGTATTTTTTATTTCTTGCTTTTGAAGGTCATATGTCATGCCGTGTTGTAACCTACAGATGCATAATTATTCTCGTGATTGATGGCATGCGCAAGTTTTACTGACGTCAAGACAGTACAAATTGCAACGTTAAACGTCCCTTATGTGAGGTCATTTTAGTGTCTACTGACTGAATGACTGACAGCCAACACGCTGCTATATAGTGGTGCGAGTGGTTAAAACAGGTGACCCTTCCAGGCGGCCTTCGGCGCTCTTTCGGGGAAACAAAAATATGAAATTTTTATGAAAAATAACATTTACAAACATAGTGAAAAATGTGCTATAGTCATTAAACATAATACACTTTCAAGCTTCCAATCACACTGCAAAGAACAAAACCTCATTATAAGTGGTTTAATACTTGAAATATAACCTATTCATTTCATTTGATTTCTCGATATTTGTCTCACAGTAAACATCTTCCAAAAGAAACACATAAATTAAATTCCAAGTGCATTTGCTAATGACATTAAAACATATTTAGTGTAAAGCAACTTATAATATGCCTTCGATAGTGATACTCTGTATTGTTGTGTGACCAGGCAGAAGCAGGAACCATGAAACGGCAAGAAAACAGCGAAACTGAACCAATAAACCTAACTGTCTATCTAAATGTGGCTTATTATTTAGTAATGTGTATGTATGGTAAAAGATGTAGCACTAGGTATGGGGAATGTCAACAAGAAACGAGTTGATAGATGGCTGGATAATGAGACGAGATTAGACATCTTATAAAATGTTATATTTGCAAAGCAATTGATACAGCAAATTTAAAAACGTCAAACATTTCTTACGTTGATAATCCTGTAACTAGTCCATTACAAACTGCGGTACGAGAATTGTTTCACCAATAAATTTAATGCAACTGTTAATCATCCATACATAAAATCTAGAGGGCGCTAAAAATAAAAGGCGCGACAGTCAGTTTCTCTATTATGGCTAAACCTATATAGCGATTTCTTTTTCATGGGTTGTGTTCGAGTTCTTACTTTTTATGGTTTTGCTCTAATGATAACCAATACAGGTAAGAAATAAAAACCAACTGGTATATTTATACTGTATGTTTTTTTTTTTTTTATAAAGATGCTTTCAAAATGAATTTAGATAACTAATCCACTCGAAACTTATTTTCATTTAGGCTTAATCTCAAGTCTGCACTCTATTGTTATAATATGTACTTTTAATGTAATTTCGTTTTGTTTTTTTGCTGGAGTGAGCTGTGAATTATAATTATGTTGTGGCCAAAAGGTTTAATGAGACAAGCCTGGATGTTTTTAGAAGATTTAATGTTAATTTTTCTAATATATATTCTAAAGAATATTATGAAAACGGGCGAGGCAGTCAGTAAGCTACGTAATTAAGGTTGTAAGGTGGAGCAGTCAGTGTGTTTAGATATTTTTGTTTGTGTTAACAATCGCACTTTCTACAACTTACAAGTAACTTGATTTTTATGTTAGTTGTTAGTCTTAGACAACTTAGCGTGGTATTTCCTCAGGCCTACGTTATTACAACAGTGTATAAGTAAATGAAACTCGTAAAAACGTCAAGGAATAATTAAACTAATTAAAATAATTAATTTTTTTATCGTTTCCGTGAGCTGAAAGTTAAATTATTTTTCACCATACAATTCAAAATACCCTGCAAACAACAGTATAGAATCGAATTGGCCTAAACCATTAAATAATAAATGTTACACACGCTCCAAATTTATTGTAAACGACTACTTCACTCTTAGCAACGGGGTCTAATATTTACATAATTCCTACATGCTAACAAAATAAATGTCCCTTATCTGATTTTTTCACACTTTACTTCATCTCTTGCATAGAATATACCTTAATAATTTCTTCTTGTTAGAGAGGGGGTATCAAAATCCGGATGCATAACGCTAGGCACCTGGTGCACGAAAGTAAAATAAGCAAAGCAAGGAGGAAAACGCGATATTTGTTATATTAAAGATGAATTACTGAATAGACGCAAATCTCGAGGTGATTACGTGACGAAAGCTCGAGCCATCGTCGGAAACCCAACCGCTGAATTATTCTACATCGGTTAACAAAATCAATAAATCCTGTTTTACTCTGTTCGCAACAACATTATGTCAAAAGGTGAAAAGTATCAGCGTGTGATAAGCTGCATTTATTCTACTTCTTACAAACACGGGGGGGGGGGGGTCTTTGATTACACAAATATAATTAAAACTGTTT